CGGGCCAAGCGGGACGGCGGGCCGCCGCCCCCGGGGCCCGGGCCGGCCGGCGAGGGGGCGCGCGAGCCCGGCTGGTGCAAGACCCCGAGCGGCCACATCAAGCGGCCGATGAACGCATTCATGGTGTGGTCGCAGCACGAGCGGCGAAAGATCATGGACCAGTGGCCCGACATGCACAACGCTGAGATCTCCAAGCGCCTGGGCCGCCGCTGGCAGCTGCTGCAGGACTCGGAGAAGATCCCGTTCGTGCGGGAGGCGGAGCGGCTGCGCCTCAAGCACATGGCGGACTACCCGGACTACAAGTACCGGCCTCGCAAGAAGAGCAAGGGGGCGCCCGCCAAGGCGCGGCCCCGCCCCCCCGGAGGCGGCGGTGGCGGCAGCCGGCTGAAAGCCGGGCCACAGCTGCCGGGCCGCGGGGGCCGCCGAGCGACGGGAGGGCCTCTGGGGGGCGGCACGGCGGCGCCGGAGGACGACGACGAGGACGAAGAGGAGGAGCTGCTGGAAGTACGCCTGCTGGAGACCCCCGGGCGCGAGCTGTGGAGGATGGTCCCGGCGGGGCGCGCCGCCCGCGGACCCGCAGAGCGCGCGCAGGGGCCATCCGGCGAGGGGGCGGCCGCCAACGCCGCCTCCCCGACGCTGTCGGAGGACGAGGACCCCGAGGAAGAGGAGGAGGAGGCGGCTACAGCAGAGGAGGGTGAAGAGGAGACGGTGGCGTCGGGGGAAGAGCCGCTGGGCTTTCTGTCCAGGATGCCCCCGGGCCCCGCCGGCTTGGACTGCAGCGCCCTGGACCGCGACCCGGACCTGCTGCCCCCTTCGGGCACATCCCACTTCGAATTCCCGGACTACTGCACCCCTGAGGTTACCGAGATGATCGCAGGGGACTGGCGCCCGTCTAGTATCGCCGACCTGGTTTTCACCTACTGAGCCCACCGTCAGCGGGGCGCGCACGCCCCCAAACCAGCTGTTTACATACAGGAATCAGGTATTGGGGCCCCTCGGAGGCCGAGGCTGGCACCCCATCTCCCGCGCAGCCCCCCCCCCCCCTACTCCTCCTGTTCCTCCTACATACCTGAACCCCTCCCCCCTACTTTGCACACGCCCCTCCTCGTGGCCGGATGGCACGCCCCTTTGCTCCAGAATCCCTCCGCCCTCACCCGGGTCTGCCTTGGTGGTTAGGGGGGCGCTGCAGTCTGGCTGTCCGGCGCTTCTCCTAGTCCCCTCCTCTTCTTGGGGGAAGGGCGCCATCCCTTTCCCCCTGGATCTCGAGGCCCCACCCCTCAGCTTGAACCATCCCCTTCTTGCGCATGCTTGATGCTTCTTGGAGGGGCAGGTCCCAGTTGAGCTGCAGGCCTCGGTCGCCAACTCCGAAAGGGAGGAGGCGATTATAGAGTGATCTAAGAAATCCTTTGATCCCGGAGCCTGTGGCTTCCTCTCAACCCAACGGGGCGTCACTGCCTTAATGGGAAGCGCACTCAAAGGGAGAGATAGAAACTAGCTAGCCCTAAACTCTGCAAGTGTCAACCCCTTTTCTATGATGGGGTCACCCACGCCCACCACCACCCTCCACCGCGTGACTGCCTTTACAGCCCATCTTGGTCGCCGGAAACTTCCTTTCCCCAAGTGGGAATTTGGAATTCCGTCTTTGTCTGGAAATCCACCAAGATGGGATTGTCCAAGAGAACTCAGAACCAAGACACCTACCAGTCTGGGGACAGAGTTCCTGCTGCCCCCTCAACCCCCCTCCTCGGGAAGCGCCCTATCAGCTCAGGGCATCCTCTCTGCCTGGGCTCCTCCCTAAGTCCATCGCCCTTTCCAGTCACTCTAATCCAGTCTCAACAGCCACAGCTGCAGTATTCAGTGGGAGAAACTCTAGCACGTTGTTGCTAGGGTTTAGGACAGGCATACCAGCAGACAGGGGTGGCAGGAATGAGGCCCGTGTCTAACCAGTGGCTTGAGGAGAGGCCAGGCCAGGGCGACCAGGGATGGTGGCTGAGCCAGCGGACGCGGTGGGTCGTGGAGATGGCACTGCTGTAGTTAGGAGGAAGCTGTGTTGAGATTAGGTGGCCCTCCGGAGCCCTGCCCGGGTGCCAAGTCCGCGACACTGGTCTCCCGCTCGAGCCCCGCCCCTCCGGCCTCCTCATCCTCCCTCTGCCCTCACTACCTGTATCTCACCGGCGTGTGTTCACCCTCTGGGTGGTTCACACACACTCATTCACACACACACAAATCTCAGGAACAAACGGTCCCAGAGTCCTCCTCGACCCCTGCCCTGGGTCTCTGCAGGTCTCTGCCCCATGCGTTCCCTTCGCTGACAACGCCACCAGCTGCCTCCTTTAAGCTTGGTGCTCCGGCTCTGGGCCTTTCTTGCGCTCTCTCTCTCTCTCTCTCTCTTCCTGTTTTCTTTTTCTTTCTTTCTTTCTTTTTTTTTTCCTTTTTTTTTAAGAAAACAAGTAACAAAAAAGACAATGAAAAAAAAAAACGGAATCCGTCATGTGAGTGAAGAAATGTCACTGTCTGTGGTCTTTGGAGAACTAGTCTCGTAGCGGAGAGGAGGGGATCCCTCCTCTGGGGCGCTGGCACCCACAGCAGGACTCGCCAGTCTCATGCCAGGACTGAATAAAGTGTATTTGCCCCGACCTCGCCCTGTGGTTCTGCATGTGTGTGCTTCTCACCCCTGGCCAGCTTCAAGTGCCTAGAATATGGGCTGGTGCAGGGAGAGCTGGATGTCTCTCTAGGCCTCGCTACCCTCTAGCTCAGGAACCGCTGCCTTCATTAAAGATGGCAAACTGGTCTTGACAGTGGTCAGGCAGGCATAAGTGGGAGGACTGGGGTGGACACTGGTGTCAGCAGCAGTGGAAGGGTGACAGCCCACTGGAGCCAAATAGCCACATTTTTTTTTTCAAGATGCAGGAAACAAGTCATTGCAGTTGCAAAATATAAGCCCATGCAAATACTTAAGTCTTTGTAGGTCAGGTGAAAGGTGTGCAGGCAGGACTGACCAAAGGGGTCAGTTTTGCTGTTTAATGAGGATTAGGAAGCAAGGCTGGGAGAGTGTGCTCAGAGCCCAGCTCCTCGGAAGCTCTACTGGACATGTGTCTTGTGAGGTTCACAATGGTGTTTTCAGAGTAGAACCATGCTCCATAAATTGTGCTGCTTCATTTCCAGAGTAGGAGGCTGGGGGAGCATGGAGAGTCATCTTAGAGTCCCCACCAAACAGCCAGAGCAAAAAGTGCCATGAGCTGTCCCACAAATGTGTCGTCCAGTGGGCTTTCACAAGAGCATGGGCCAAGGTCCCGGCATACATGGGCCTCAGTGTAGGCGTTACCAGGGGCAGCAGCCTATGAGGCTTCTCAGGAGGTTCTAACTTCTTCTGAGGTCCTCTGTACCTTTCCCCTGATGTTTTGTCTGCCAATGCTCAGGAAAAGGCCATTTTCCCTGTAAGTCAGGATTGGATGTGGGTCTCATCAGGGCATCTTTTCTGCTTCTGATTGGAAGCAAACGGGAGAAATCATGAAGAGGTAGCATTTAGATTTAGAAAGGGAGTGCAGTGCCAAACAGAAGTTAGTTCAAGGAAGGGCTTCCTAGGTCATGGGATACTGGGGCAGTGAGTGGCCTCCTGCAAGGTCAGCCCTTGACAGACATGAGCTTGCCCAAGGCCACACCCTTCTCCCTCATAGGGCTGCCCAGTGTCTAAGCTAGGCTGTTTGAGTGCCTATGGGGCAGGCTTTGTCAGGCGTCCTGCAGTTTCTTGCCTCTTTTCTCCACAGGTGTTCATCCTAATAAACATCTTACACCCAAACTCAGTCTTGGTGTCTGCTTTTGGAAAAGCCGTCTACTGGGGAGGGTTTAAAAGGTGACAAAGGGAATGCCGTCACTGACTTAACAGTGGCAGTTAGGATGCCTCAGCCACGCCTCCAAAGGCGTCCACCCTCACTAGACCTCCACACCAGCCCCGAGGCTGTAGCAGCTAGTCACCAGCCCTTCTGGGTCGAGGCATACAAAAGCTGAGCCCGGTTGAGCGTGTTTAACGTGATCTGGAGTGGCACTGGGTGGCTTGGCTAGTCCTCTCCACCCGCAGACCGTGGTACCCCACACTGAGGGTGGTGGGGTTAGGACTAGAAGAGAGACCTCTTCCATTTCAGATGCTGGTCTGAAGAGAGGTAAAACTGGTGCTCAAAGTGAGTCTGGGGACCTCTACTGAGTGAGGAGTACAAAGGTTTGGTAGGTGGAGGGCAAGGTCAGGTCTCCAAGGAACTGACCTCAAGTGTCCATGCCATTTCCATTGTCCCCTTTGAGCTGCCTTGATTCCCCCACCCTTTTTTATTTTTATTTTATTTTATTTTATTTTATTTTATTTTATTTTATTTTATTTTATTTATTTATTTATTTATTTATTTATTTATTTATTTATTTATTTATTTAGAGATAGGTTATAGCCCTGGCTAACTCACTGTGCAGATCAGGCTGGCCTCAGACTCAAGAGATATGACTGCTTCTGTCTCCAGAGTGTGTGGGTTAAAGGCATGTGCCATCGCACACAGGTCCCCTTTGGCTTGTGGGACACAGGGTTGGTCTCTAGCCCGGGCAGCCCTCCTGAAGGTTGGGACTGTAGACGTGGACTACCATGCTCGGTTTATGTACTGCTGAGGCTTGGACTGAAGACTTCATGGACGCTAGGCGAGCAGTCCGGCAGCCGAAGTCTCGTATCTTCATTCCTAGGTATGCAAAAGTGAAAAAGACACACATGCATGGTCCTCCCTGAGCTGAAGCGAAAAGCATAAACCCAGGCCTAAAATATTTTGACAACAGTAACTGAGTCAGTGGACTGCAGATTCAGGATAGGGCATGATCAGGTCCCTTAACCCTACTGAAGTTACAGTAGGTGGTACTTTTAGAGAATGACTACAGGTTCTGACATCCTTCCTTGAACTTCCTCATCAGTCTAGGCTGTCCTTTGTAAGGACCAGGAAGTAGCAGTACGGATACTGCAGGGTTTCGCTCGGAGCCAACATGTTGAAGGGCTAATCCTGAGGCTGTCACATGACAAAGCAAAAAAGAGACCATTATGATTGAGGCCTGATACTGGATGTACAAGTGCAGAAACTCGAGGACAACGCCAGCCTAGAGTCAGTCGTTTTTGTCCCTGACAGCTATTGAGAGCTCTGAAATCTCAGCCATCATGTGGATGGGTGAAGCCACTCTGCTTTGTCCTACCCGAATTCAGCCAGTTAAAAACCTATTCACACTAAGGTTTCAGGCAAATCGCTAAGAAGCAGCAACTGGAGCAGTATGGGAAGGCGGAGTCATGCACAGAAGAAAACAGTCCGGATGAAAACAAAGGGGGGCAGCCCGACAGGAGTGGCTGGCCCAGAAATGGCTAGGAAGCAGGGAGTGTGAGACAGGTGACTGACTGACAGAGGCAGGAAGGGTCTTGAGGTATTTGGATTTTATCAGAAGTCTCCGCACTGCAGTGCAGGGGCCTTTGGAAAACAGACCTTCCCAGGCCCCAGTTCTTGGCATTGGTTCAAGGCCTTTTTGCACTTGCCTCCTTCACTCTTGTAGACTCATCTTCAGTCATTAGCTCTATTTTCAAACTGCCTCAGCCACACCTGGCCACTCCCTGGTGATGGCACCACCATGCCATTTGCCACTGTTGTTAAGGATGTTGGAGACATGAGTTTCCTTAGCTGTGCGCTTGGGTGGTTGGACCGGAAGTCTTGCTAGAATATACTCAGCCTGACACTCTGGGAGTCTTTAAAGGGGGGCTGGGGGTGGGGGTTTGCAGACAAACCTGGCCCTCCAGCTTCTTCCAGCTTGGCTAGCTGTGAACACCAATCCTCTCACCATCCTTAGAGGTTTCTGGCCCTCAGCTGTTTCTGGCCTCCTTTTAACTAAATGTCAAGTTCTTTTCTTTCTGCTCCAAAAAACCTAAAGCCAAGGGAGTCTGTAGAGACCAGGATACAACAGAATGGAGAAAGGCTTGTGCTGGAGGTCAGCACAGTGTTTGCTGTGTCACTTAAAAGAGCCACCTGGCCTCTATGGC